TTTATTTATTACTTATATCCAATATAAAATACTATTTAGTCCAGGAGTAAACGACTGAAAAACATTAAATTCTCAGAAATTTAGCTGGCCATAAATATTGTGTCAATGACAGAACAGATTATCTTAATGTTTCAGTTTGAAATTCTATATCTCTGTTCATATGAGTATACTAGTAGATAGAATATCTGTATCAGCTATTTGAATGTGAAAGCAACTTTTAATACGTGTAGTTCAATGCAGAGTTTTTACATTTCAATTAGACCATAGGCATAGCCATGGGGGGGGGGGGTGCAATTGGCGATCGCACCCCCCCCCCCTCCCATAACCAATAAAATATAACCATGAGAAGAGCTTTGGAATGCTTTTTATTTGAAGCTTCTAGCTCAATTTATTATGAAGGAAGTTGCATAAATTTTTGAAAAATTCAAGACACAGTAAATCTTAATTATTGGCTTTTTATGCCACAATCGCATCCCCTGACTGAAAATAGAATTTTTTTGGCGATCGCACCCCCCCCCCCCCCCTGCACTGACTGAAAGCTGGCTACGCCCCTGTAGACATTTCCATTCTTAAACTTCATATCCTGCAAATTCCTATATATGAGGCAATAAAATAAAATAAAGTTCTATCTGCATAATATCACATTGTGATCTAGATAGATAACTAGCTTGACTGACTGATATTCATTTGCCTTCATCATGTTATTTGGCTTACAATAGCCAGGATTTTGTGACTGGGAGGGGGTGGTTCATTTTTTAAATTCATGCAAAAATACTTCCCCACCCTCCCCCACACTCAAATTACCTCATCTTACATTAAGTAATAAAGGTATCATAATTTGATCATTGTGGAATTTATTTTATGAAAGTTTAAGATGCAGAAATTGGTCATTGGTCTTTAATTGGTCTTTAAAAAATAAAAGTATCTTGTATCATTATGAAATAAAATCACAACCATTTTTAGGGATAAACATGAAGTCCCATGCGCAAAAGTATTCAAAATATTTTCAAAGTCGTGAATTACTTATAACACATATCTAGACTTAGATACCCTTTGAGACAGTAATCCATTTAGGCTCATTCTATTTTCAAGATGACATCTGAATTCAACTTAGTTTTGAAGTGTGAACTCATTCTGATACTCATAGCATCTTTCTGTTTCACCTTTCAGGGCTGAGAATATTTGAGATGGCATGGTTTATCATGATGGTGTGAACTAGGCATGAAGTATTAACTACCCTAATAAATTAATAATCTCATGTTTATTTGGTTTTAACAATGGCCATTGTCTCTATCAAAAAATATAATTATACCAAATGAAATTTGGTACTCCATTTTCCATTTTAGAATATTTAACTTGAAACTGGAGTAAATATTATATCTGTCTCTGGGTAGTATAGTACATGTATTGTATACTAGTAACATCTTATTTAGTCTTGAATACTTCAAAGAACACCAGATATTTGCCTTTAAAAATACATTGAATCAGACTGCAATCTGTCTATGAGTGGAGGACAGTGAATTCACTCTAGACTAAAACCAAGATGACAAACCCATAACTTACATCTTATCTAAATAATCTGTCAACTTAAACACTAACGAGTTTTCCAGAGCTGATCAGATTTGATCAGAACTTTGCAGTTATCTGGAGGACTATATTTATGTTCAGCATATTCAGACATTGTAAAGATCTTGCTGCTTTCTTTTGATTAATGACTATTTAGACCTTAGTTTGCTTTAGTACAGGGGAATCCCTACGCTACTTTATTGAGCCAAAACAGAGATACATCAATGTAATTCTGACAAGTTGTTACTTTCAACTACCAATCATAACGCAGAATTACAATTTGAATCTTGCTTACATAAGCATGATATCAGCAATATTCTTACTTAAATTTGCACAATTTTGACTGGTAAAATAATGCATTTTACCTGGTATATAAAGAGCCCAGCAAGATCTGATTATTCAGTAACTTTTACTCGATAACAACAACATCAACAATGAAGTAAGTTTTATTCACTCACAACAATGCTAAACAATCGATGAAAGGAGAAACAACAAACAACCCCACTGAAACTCTGCTGATCGAATCAATCTCAAGAATAAGAAGGATTGGAATTCAAAATAAAACAAGGAAATCAAATCAAAGGAGTCGGGTTCAATACAGGAGTCGGGAACCCTGGAGTACCGAAGCACCACAAGATCACAGTTACGATACGTAACAATAATGATAATGGGGTAAATATTAATTTCATGGGCTTCGTGAAAATATTGATTTTTAGAAAATATAATGAAAGACAAACCAACATTTGTGATCATAATGAGAATGGGGTAGATATCAATTTCATGGGCTTAGTGAAAATATTGATTTTTAGAAAATATAATGAGAGACAAACTATTTATAATCATAATGATAATGGGGTAAATATTAATTTCATGGGCTTGGTGAAAATATTGAATTTTAGAAAAATAAATATCAATTTACAAGTGAAAATATTGATTTTTAAAACATCAAATTGAGAGGCGAACTAATAACATTCATAATCATATTGATAAGGGGGTGAATGATGATTCCATGGTCTTGGTGAAATTATTGGTTTTAAAAAAAGACTGAAAGGGCAAACTTACAGAAATAATCATTATGATCATGATAATGGGACAAATGTTTATTTCAAGAAATGAAAATGTTGATGTTTTTTTTAAAATCCAAGTGGCAAAATATCGTTCATATATAATCATGATAACATTAATTTCTTCTTTATACCAACCGTGTACATTATGACACTTCTCTTGTTACCAAATTAGGTTGAGTCGAAGCAGCGCCTACTAATGACATTTTGGATCTCAAGTCGGAGATCACATTAATCAACCTAAACATCCAGTTTTCATCAGTTTTGTCTGGCGGGCAAGGTAAACTTGAAACTTGCTATATAATAGTACCCAGAACCAAGGACGTCTAGATAGACGTCCTTGCCAGAACATAACATAAACATGAGCAAATAATTTATCTACTTTCTTATTTATGTATTAATTCACAATTAATGTACAATTGTAACTCTCTTATATAAGAGGTAAATAAAGAATACAATACAACAGCAACTTGAAAATTCTGTATACGTCTTTAGCTAATATTTCTATAAACATGATCAAATAATTAATCTACTTTCTTAAATTTATTATTTATTTATTTATATGTATTAATTCACAATTAATGTACAGTTGTAACTCTCTTATATAAAGAGTAAATAAAGAATACAATACAACAGCAACTTGAGAATCATGTATACGTCTTTAGCTAATATTTCTAAAACAGTCCATGGGTCGTTTTGAAGCTAAGAGAATTTCCAACAATTGATTTTCTTCATTTTTATGTCACCAACATACAGGCGGCGGTGACATATTGTTATAGTCTCCAACTTTTTGTGGCGACGGTTGGTGTTCGGCGGTTTGTGTTCGGCGTTTGGTGTTCCGCGTTCGTTTTTTATTATTCTATATTTATTTTGGAAACAATCGCACCTTTTATCAAATTTTAGTGTATATTTTAACTGTTTCTCAATTCATTATTTTTTCGGTAAAAATCTAACAAACTATATTAAGATCAGTTCATTTTTAAAAAATCACAATATTAATGTCAGAATGTACTCGATGGGGACATATTTGAGGAGTTTTTCAGATATGTCAGTTGGGCAGATTAACAAATAATTCATTATAAGAGTGTATCCCCCAGATGACGTTCTGTCCAATTTAACATGTTTTGAAAATCTTAGCAGCGTCTGCGTTGCAGCATTGAACCAGTCTTCTTACTTATACCTTGATAAACCCGGGACATGAACCCACCTTTAGAAATAATTCTCAAATCGAATGGTCATTCAGATCATGGACCATGTTCAGATTTTAAAAGTTTGCAATGCTGGGAGCCTCCAAAATTATGAATTTGAGCACTACTCGTATAGTGTTGGAACGTCACCTATGTGAAGAAGCCATACGAGCACACACTTTATGAGATCGTGAAGGGCAAGTATTTCAAACAGTGGCCCTATGGTGCAGACTGCAGACATGCTTACATAAGTCAACTGAGCGGAAAGTTATCTAATAATGGAAATTGTAAAAAAGTTGAAATAACTATTATAATACTGTAATATTGTATTGTATTGTATTGTATTGTATTGTATTGTATTGTATTGTGTCATAATACTTTTATATTTCATTGGACATGAGGAAACTACAACTCCTGAAAATCAAAATAGTCTGAGAACGGCACAAGCTTTTCAAGTGCAATTTTCAATAGCTGTTCTAAATATAAATAGAGATTACTTCTGTGCAAAATGAAGAAAAATATATCAATGAAGCTTTAAAATGACTCATAGAATGAAAAATTTAAGAAATGAGATCCAAAGATTTGAAATAAAAATTTTGAAAAAATGTGAAATTTGAAAAAAGATTTGAATTTTGAAAAAGAATTGAAGAAAAGGTGATGAAAACCACTGTCTGTTTGACAATATAATTCCAAGGTTATGTGCTCAGTAGAAATTAGAAAACAACAACTTTTAGGTCTAATTATTTATGTCCATACATACAAAAATAGCGACCCATAGGATATATATTCCTATGATTTTCTCGGCTATCATTTTTATCCACTCTTGGATATCGATGGAAATCGATATGGGCAATATCCATGGATAAAAATGGTAGCCCTCAAAAAATCATAGGATATTCTCTATATATACATTAGAAAGCACCGAGATATACGCTACAGATATCTCGAATTAAAGACGCTAAACGTAAGATTTTATTAACTTGGCCTAACTTATGTATGCGAAGTTATATGCAATCGATAACAGTCATCCTGTGTTGTACTTAATCTCATCACGCGGCGACCTCGTGAACTAGGCTCCCCCAAGGCTTATCGATTTTTAGTTTCAAATAGTACCTGGCACTAAGCCAGGCCCTTCTCATTGGATATTATACACCAATCAGATTCTTTTTCCTTATAGGGATAGCGTGAATCTATATTTAGACGTTTTCTAGCTTTATTCAGCCAATCAAGACGCGGTCCTTAATGATTACGTGTATTGAATGATATACTCGTTGCTTTTACCGCCCAATGTCACTCGAGCGAACACTTTAACGAAAGAAGGACATGTGTAATTGAAATATGGAGATAAATAGAGCCCGAATAGCAGGGATATAGCAGAATCTAAATAGGTGGGTTTTAATTAAACTAAATTATCAGTACGGTGTGCGACGTTGCATTTCTTCTACTGGTCATTGGATATAATTGCTTAACATGGTTACGCGCCGCCGACGGAATAAAATGGATCTACATTACATAAATAAATTAGATGCCCTGGGATTAGATGTTTGGATAAACACATTACATTCCAAAATATAATCGCAGCTGCCTATTTCCCATATATCTATCTATAAGTACCACAGGTATTTCTGTATTCAAAGTTCGCAGTCGTCGAGTGGAATTCAATTTGGTCTCCATAACAACCGTCGCTAGGGTTGCAATAACGTGTAGCCATCAGCGTATTTTAAGCAGCCTATCTATAGCTTATACGTATGTACTCTACAGTTTGCGCTATAAATAAATGAGTCATGGATTTGCTGAAGTGAGGATTGCCCAGTGTTAAAAAAGAGAATTTTCAGTGGATGAGAGTATACAAAATGTAAAATATACACATTTTAGAGATCTATCGAAGACAATATTGGAAACCATGTATGGCCTCCTCTACAATCAAAATACAAAATTGACACTTTAAATGATATATCAACCGGTAATCGCCTGCTGAAAATTAATACCGAAATAAGTGTTATAAAACTTTCTGATGAATGATATTAAAACAGCTTAAGAACTCGAATTTATTTGCACAACGAAGAAAAAATGATTAATTTAAATACTGAATCTCCATTTGATTTTTCTGATGAAATCCAAAAATATATTTAGATAATTGAATTTTCTTAAATTGAATTATTTCATTATTGCCCAATTTTTATTAGTAATCTCATCCACTGATGTACGGTCTTTTGAAAATTATTTTATTTTTAACATGGAAAATCTTCACTTCAGCAAATCCGAAATACTTAGTGGATAAACTGAGTAGAAAGAGTTTTTTCGAAACTTACTCCCAGTTTGTCTCTACACTTCTTTCTCGCAATCTATCAAGTTCTGTTAAAGTATATCTGGTTTAACTGCAAATGTCCAAAACATCATTTCCCGAGTATTCGGCGATTTTTCCCTCGCATTATACCCGGGAGCAATCATATAATTATTTTGGCAAGTTGAGGCATGTTGAGGTTACAAACATAGCGACACAACACTAACAGTGCGTTTAGTTGATATCTACTACAAGCCCCGAAATCACGAAGGAGATCGAAGATGTATCCCCGTTTCTCTATTGATGAACAATGTATTTTTTTTATCTTTATAGAGATAGACTAAGGCACAAAAATATTAGAGTGAAGATTTAATCCAGATTCCTTTTTGTGATATTGTATCAGCGAAGCTTAACGAATCATTAATTTCGAATATTTTCTTAAATATTTATAGTGGTTGCATGAGTCAATGGAGTGATTTCGCAACTCACTTTCAGTAGTATGTTTATTATTCCCGGATTACGTATAACTTATGAAGCGTTTGATTACGTCATCATTTATTGCAAAAGAATATCACACATGGACGACATTGGACGCATAGAGCTGCGCAATAAATGATGACGTTATCAAACGCTTCATAATCATATGTTAAACGTTATACGGGAATAATAAACAAGCTATAAGCGTATACAGTGAATTGCGAAATCTCTAATACTACTGCGTTTACCAGTTTACATTTTCTTGTCAAAGTCAAAGTTCGAGTCTCAATGTCTATTATGAGACTTACGGTCGATAACAATAACTTAGCAATCGTCACCAGAGTTCTCATTTATGTCCTTTCAAAATTGGAATGGTTTCAACAAGTTTGATCCGGTTTTGACTGAGTTACGGAGAACTATTCAAGAATTCACGAAGAATGTTATCAAAACAAACAGCAGATGCGAGATGTTTACCATACGTTGTTCATATCTTTATCACCCAATGAGAGCTAAGTTATAATTATAATACCTTGTTAACGGATGGGACCAGGTGGAATTACCCCGTCCTTCAAACCAACTTGCAAGTGTTATCTTCTCACTTATATGTCTTAACGTTCGTCACTATGGTAACAGAGTAGAGGATCTGATATATCAGGTGGTAACCGTCTGTAAAGTGGACTTTGGTCATTATCATTGTTTTATCAGTATGCCGAAGACAACTCCAAGTTTGACGGATGGTTTAGTTTGTTTAAAGCGTTTTAATCGTACCGGCTTACCTCTGAACTCTTAAACATTCGATGGGTAAGCATCAGATCATGAGTTCACGAACAGGTTAGTTGTGTAATAGGCTTACTAGAATAGTAGGCTAATGGTTAACAAGCTTAACGCTGACCCGCTGTTGAACCGCTCGCGTGATTCACAGCTCTTTACAAACTTCGGAATGATATTTGCATTGAGAAAGTCTAGTCTTGAAAACAACTTTGACATCGCATAGCAACGCAGTTCTATTATTGGTATGTCGATTTTATAGTTGTTTACTCAGCGGAATAGCCATACATTATTATAGCTTATTTTCCGTGCTATTAAACTAGCATAAGCACTCGCTCCTGCGATGTTTTTAATACGGCGGCGACTTTAGGGGAATTTCTTTTGAGCGTTAAGTTGTAAAGATAATACTATTCAGCCTCATGGCGCCAAAGTTGACGGATAGGCCAAGAAAATTAAAATGTGTGTTTTACTTATGCCAATGGCAATACCTTACTATAAAAGCATCTTGATTCACAAGGTTTCAGTTTCACAAACTTATAATTTCCATTGACGTCAGATGTATGAAAATGTGTCCTCCAAACTTTATTATTTTTTACCAACATAATTATAAAAATGTTAAACATGTGTTGTTCGTTAAATAAGTTGCACAGGTCACTGAACAAACTCGTTCTTTGAAAAAGTCAAATATAGATTTTATAAAGGGAAGTAGGGGCATCGTCGCTTTCCACTGGGTCTAGAGGTAGGAACAATCAAAACCTTGTGAATCAAGATGAAGGAGGGGATGGGAGTCCAAGTAATAAAATATCGTCGACCACCAAAGGCCAGCATCTTCGTCTTTCAGGGTTTTATAACAAGTGTTAATGGCACCTTCTTACCTATATGAGCTATCCGTCACACTTTCCCGGGGTACACGACCATATGTTTTAGAAGAATGTGACTTTTCCCAAAAAGATTCCTGTCACTTAAAACTGGCCATTCTTTTTTGATATGACGATTAGAATATAATAATGCTTAACGACCGTTTTGAACTTGGTAATCGAAGTTGGGTTTATGAGTTTGATTATTCCTTTTTTACGACTTACAGCTGTCAACCTTCTCATCAAATTGCTAGGATTGTACCGTAAGTGCGGGCTGAAGCTAGATTATAAATTCATGATAAACCATCCATCAATGTTAATGAGACATTTATTGCCCATTAACCCATGTTATTAAACCCATAGAGGCTAATAACCACTTCGCTTTACGAATTTGATTCATATTTATAATGAATAGTATAGTTTCCATATAGCTTTTGAAATCTCGCTTAATCTCGTTTTTCGTGAGATTTTAAGAGACTTGCATATTAGACCTCTAATGACTTACATTACCTTCTTTTAAATGGCATATTTAAATTCAGTGAAATGTTTTCTCCTATAATAGCTTTGATTTACACAGTTATGTAATTTGAATAATTTTCTATAACAATTTAAAAAAACTTGGGCCAAATGTCCATAGATGCAATGCTAAAATTCTTTAAATCCGTGGATTATTTGTATGTCAATCAACATTTGCATGTTTAATCACAACAGATTCAACAAACACACTTTGATAAATCATGAAATTAAGCCACTTTTTCAAGATTTTAGCATGTAAATGAATGGAGCTCTAGCCCAAGTTAAAAGCTGAATAAAAGATGGCAGCACGAGATTTCATTGATTTTTCTGCTATTTAGAAACTATCCAATTTCCAACACACGTCTGAAGGGCAAATGTTTTCGTTGGAAATTTGTCAGTGAGTTCAATAAAAACATTTTAAAATAACGATAAATATTTACTTCTGAGAACAACAAATTCTGGATGAAGTAAACACATTATTTTAATGGAATGTTAGCAGCAATTTACTTTGCCATAATTGAAAACCACCGCAAGAACGCTGGTTCATGTAGATTCATTTTACAACTTATTAAATATTTATTTACTTAATATAGGCTATTTATTTATACAGTGTAAATGGACATAAACAGAACAATACGTAGTGTTTAAAGTTCGGCGTCTGTAACACATGGCAGGTGGTGACATTTTGCATGTTAAACCTTGTTCAAATATAAGTGTCTCTTTACAATATTTTTTCTCACACAATTCCATGCGATCCTTACATGTTCTTCATTTTTTTGTATTCGTTTGGCTTAGCTTCTTAAATAAAGTCACCCCCACTACTACTTGTGTTGAAATCTTTGGGTTGAAAATAATGTGGATTAGTGGTTATTTAGATAAAATTCAGCTTTGTGCCAAGTCCTAACAACGTTTTACAACGCCAAGACTTCAAAACACAAGTACATATATGGGGGTACGCCCAGAGTACAATACTTAAAGAAAAATATGTCAATTCTGTGCGAAATTGGGCTGAAATATTGATCAGAATTTAGGGATAACGCAATTCCACACCTGAAGGTCAATCCCGTCTACTCTTTGCGAAACGGAGTTCAAGAAGGATTGTTTGATACATGTACTTGTTTTTTTAAATGACCAAAATTTCTTGATTATTCTTTAACATAACAAAAGTAGGATTGGAATGGAAATATTGTGCTTTTCGCAAGATTACTCTCAACAACAACAAATCAATACACTTTTCTTTGTTATACTGGTTTAAGTTAATTTATCTCTAATATCAACAATAAAAAACACAATTTGTTGACATGTGATAACCTTCTTATGGAATATCCGTTTAAAGTTCACATATCCGGTTATTTCCAAAACAGGATTTCCCTAATCAACAATATGAACTACTACTGTATAACCTAGGATTTATGTTCTCAATAAAATCCCCAAGTCTATGTTATAATACGACCCCAATTTAAAACTATGATGTGCATCTTAGACTTCCAAGGGGGTTATAAGTTACATCTTGATTCACAGGATTCCAGTTGCTCTTACTCAAACAAAGTATTTCTGGACATCCTGTGTTTTACAATTCCTTACAATAGAATTTTCACTGCATCATAGAATACCAACTATGGCAGTATCAGAGATTGTTCATTGTAACAACAGAGTAACAATACCTCATTTCAAAGGGCAACTTAGTGAGATCTTGGCCCATGGTAGCAAGTACTGAACGAAAACTATACGCACTGAACGATATCTCATTTCCCGGGGGATATTACCGGGCGGATAATATCCATGATATGGCCCAGTTAGTACTACGACCCGCCATCAATAATGATTTTACTCATTTAATATCTGGTGGTTGTTTTTGTTTCAGATTACAGAAGATTTGGAGCTAACATTGTGATGTCCGTAGGTTGAGTTTCATAGCAAAGTTTGTCTGGAGGTCAACATTCTATTTAGGTAAAGTATTTCTCGCAGGCTGTAAGCCCAAACGACAACACATCACTGTTGATACTGTGTGACATTTGCCGTCCCCTTTATCCCTTGGCTAATCTGTAACATGGAGTTTGAGCAGGGACATATTATTGCTTATTAGGATTTCAAAATAGTTGTTTGAAATAGTCAAACGAACGAGATGGCCACATACTTCTCAAGTATTGAATATTCTTCTGGGATAGAAAGGAATACGCATGGGCTGTTTACTTGGGTGGGCCCAGAAAAATAATTGGGCCCAAAAAAAAATTGGGAAAAAGGCCTTTAGGCTTCAAAAAGTGGGCCATTTTGGTCACTACTGGGCCTTTAAGGCCTTAATTTTTAATTTCAGGCCAAATTTTGAAGAAAATGGGCCTCAAAAGGATGTGTCCGTATATATGCCCTTTTGGTCCCTCAGTCAAATGTATGTGAACTATGGTTTTTATTACTGTCCTAGTTATATTTGATAAGTATATTTACTTTTTAACGAGTTTTGATGCATAATTAACCCCCTGCTGAGAGTCAAAATAAGTATCTTAACAAAAAAAATAGTCCTTATCATAGAAAAAACTCCAATGGCGACATGTATGACATACAAAGAAGAAATAATTTAAGACCCATGAAGAATTAAAGAGAAAATCATATTTTTGAAATATATTTAATCTTTTATTCTTTATTAATAAGTGAAAAAATGAAAAAGATTGTTGGATTATGTAATGTTCTGACATTATATAGTCGTATATGGACTCGGGATGTTGAAATAAGTGAACAATGTAAAATAAGATTTTTGTGAGGCTATACTTGTAAATAAAAATAAATAAATTTCAAAATTCCCCCAAAAATTCTCAAGATGTAATTGATCTCATTGTGAAAGCGAGGGGAACAAAACAGGGAATCTACTTTTTTGCCCTTAGTAAACTTTTATTTATCAATATATCCGTTTAAAGACTGTCTCGATTATTAATTAACCTATCCACAATACTGAAGCTAGATTATCGATTAACGGCCGTTTCGAACTTGGTAATCGAAGTTGGGTTTATGAGTTTGATTATTCCTTTTTTACGACTTACAGCTGTCAACCTTCTCATCAAATTGCTAGGATTGTACCGTAAGTGCGGGCTGAAGCTAGATTATAAATTCATGATAAACCATCCATCAATGTTAATGAGACATTTATTGCCCATTAACCCATGTTATTAAACCCATAGAGGCTAATAAGTACCGGGTCACGTGGCTTATAAATTGACCAATCACAGCGAGGCACGTGATTAAAATTGACCAATCAGAGCGCTTATATTTGACCTCTGCCGAACCTTTCCGGTCAATTTTTGAATTTCCCGCCAGTTTAATTTAAAGGGGGAAAAAGAAGATGGTTGCCATTTCATGTAAGAAATATCAGAAAAAAGTTGCCTTACTCTTAGTTTTCACAATGAGCACAATTTTCCGGTTTAGGTTTTTTGACTGATTATGATTCTTCATCACCAGGGTCATGTATAGAGATTATAAAATTGAAACCAAAATGTTGTGCTCAGCATGAATTTGACTGAAAGATGTATAATTTCACCAACACAATTGAAGTGTCAAAACTGGATACTCAGTAACTTTGAGTGACTATAATCCCTTGATTACCCAGATAAACACCAATTCACTTATCCAGAAATACCATTCAGTCTATACAAAGAAAGTAACCAATGTTTTGGAAGATATGTTTCAAACTTTTTGCATAATTAATTCATTTAATATTTGCCATTCATTTTTTTTCAATTCTGACAAAGTGATATGCACTGTCTTTGATGCCAATATTCTTCATCAATTGTGATACAAATTGATATTTTTGTAATCTCAGAAGAAGGATAAGATATCGGCGCAAGCGCGGACGTTTTTTTCTCTGACCTGAAATTTGCCCCCCCCCCTTGTTGGTTCCCAGATCCGCCCCTGTGATTAGGAAACAATAGACCCATGAAGTCATGATTATAGAACAATAGACCCTTGAAGTCATAATTATAGAACCATAGACCCATAATTAAGTTATAGAACCATAGACCCATGAAGTCATAATTATAGAACCATAGACCCATGAAGTCATAATTAGAAAAAAGAATAATTATAGATCAATAGACTCATGAAGTCATAGTTTGAGAAAAGTAACCCATTGAAGTCATAATTAGAAAACATAAGACTCACGACGTAATAATTATAAAACAATGGTCTTGTGACGTCATAATTAAAAAAACAATAGAACAAGAAGTCATTATTAGAGAATAACAGACACGTGAAGTCATAATTGAAGGACAATATACCCGTGAAGTCATAATTGTAGAACAATACCCATGAAGTCATAGTTACAGAACAAGATAGAGACCAGTGAATTCATAACTCTGAGAATACTAACAACGGAAATACACCTCTCAATTTATTTACCCGACGCCTTCTACCGAGGTTTCCAATGCATAGGACAAAGCTGTAGCAGGTAAATGGCGAATAAGTCATCAACCAATCATGAAATAAGTCTGATAGCGACACACAAATCTGCCACGTTACAGTCAACGGAGCTATTTTCTGCGCGTAACAACTTTGATTGATTTTCCTCCACTTCATCTAACTTTTTAATTGTACGTCGAAAATGCTATAATACTTATTAGTTTCATATGGACCCCTTCAAGCACAAGCAGTTAAAGTGAAGTGATAAATTAAAATTGCGATAAATTGTCACGACTGGATTCAGTTACCGTGGCAACCTTTATCAAAAGTTAGATATGTCACGTTAACCAGTCAATATTTCAATATTTAGTAGCCTTGTGTTTTGTGCCGGTTTCGTAATTCAGTTACGCTACATACAAATCATTGAATGTAAATTTGACAAAAGATATCATACATTCCCTGGCCATATTTGCATTTCATATTGATGTTGAGGATTAATTTACATTAATAAGATGTAAGGTCCAAAGCCTGACAGACCCAAGTTTGTTTATTACCCGGGAATAAGTACGTGTACTGAACGAAACTATTCGAACTTTGACTTGATCACTGCAACATGAGCTTTAGGATACCTGGTCTAGATTTTTTCTTACTTTTTAAATTTAAATTTTGTTTCTATTGTCTTAAAATCTAACATAAGGCTGACAGTCACTGAAAATAGCTTAATTTTACAAAGTTTTTTATATTATATTGAAATTTTATATTTAAACTTAAACGGGTTCAGTCTCTAAATCTTTGTTTAGATGCTTCAAATATTCAGTCATAAAATCCAGTAATTTGCAATTTGCTGTAATTCTTTGTACAGTCTTAAGTGCCGTCATCATGTACATATGTACATGCATTTACACGCCTAACCATCGACAACGTACAGTGACAAAATACACCGTCGTACACTTTAGATGTACGGTGTCACTATTCTAACTGATATGAAGCAAAAACAATGATGTGGGTGTGGGGTAGGTTTTAAAAATCGACCTGAGGAACACTTAAGGGGTTTTATGTTTAATTTCGTGTGTATTCGATTTTGAAGACATTTACCTTTCTAATTCTGTGAAAAGGCTTTTAATTTCTCAGGGAGCTTTAAAACTTTGGTTTGTTTCAAAGTGTTCGATGCTGAAAGTTTAACATTTTAGGGTTCTAATTTTTTCTAATTTTGGTGTACTAATCTAGTATTTTGATTCCGTGTACTAATCTAGTATTTAACTCCAATTATAAATTGGGAAATAAAAGATGCATACATTGCATATGTGTGTTTTTGTAAAAAATTTTGTTTACTCAATGTCATATGCGATTTTATTTTAGCTCCTTGGTACGCACAACTGTTAATTGCATGGGAATGAGTATGTGTTTGGGCCACTTTAATTGTTTGATAACAAATAGACCAAGGTAATGGGATCACCCTGCACTTATCGCTGTCTTGTCCATATTGCCCCCCAGTGGGCACAGCATGTCTAACAAATGAGCAAGACAGCGGTAAAATCGCATGTGGTATTTGAACGTTTCAGATTATTGAATTATACCATAATGTTCTTTTTATTGATGTATTTCATATTTATGATTTTTACCTGTAACTTTACTCATATAATTATTTCGTATTTTCACAAACCAAAGCCTCGTTACTTATTTTGGTATATCTGGACTAGCTGGCATGGCAAAATATGCATTATAGTAATAGTATATACCCAGTGCTGTAGCTCGTACATTGACCCAAATGGGACAATGCGCTGGCCCTATCAGTAGAAACAGCTGGGTCTCAAAATAATTGAAAAACTCTGCAAGTGTGTTAAAGCAGTTTACATTACATGCTTGGAGACGTACGTAGATGCAGAACTGTTAATTGCATCTTGAAAACCGAACGTATGCTGGCTGGGATCTGATGTTTAGACCAACTCTGTTATCAGCTTATCACCATGAAGCAACGTGAAGTTCAGCCAGGGGTTCTAATAAAGATAACTCGGTTAACAACCAGATATGGATGTTTACCGAGTATCTGTTTAACTTAAGTATCATATTCCTAATCTCGTACTATTAATACATCGTCTAGATTTCGTTTCATAACTGTTATCAGTGAATCATAGGAACACAGAGTACCCCTTGAGCCAATATTGTATAATCCATAGTTTGCAAACTCGCTTTTATTTCCAATAAGATTTTTATCGTCAAAACTTACGTAAGTAATCCTGCACTGTACTGATAATATAAGCTAGATGCTTTTGGAGGTACGCCAAATACCCGAATACCCAGTTTACATCATTCCGGGATGTCTGCCAACGTATGACTAATGGTGTTACGTTGATATGAAAAGGTTGCTTTCTTGTATGGATAATACTAAGCTGCAAATAACATACAGTGCCAGAATCACTGGTCATTATCAAGCGATGTTAACGGCCGTCACCTTCGCATTTAAGATGGCGGATGGGAAGTGTCGATTTCGATATTTTTAGTTTTCATCGAATTAAACTTTATAATTGACGTTATGCTTTGATATTTGAACTAAATCAGACTTATGTGGCATGGAAACTCTGTAACTTATGATCATTTATTCATATATCGTGCGTGGGTGCCACAGCACAACGATATCGTCCACCACTTAAGGGAAAGTTACTGGAAATGATACGGTTACCGTCATGAAACCAAAATCCTAGTAACCTAGTCCGCACATTAATTGAACAATTGATTATCCTCCAGAATTTCCATGTCACATTAGCCTGCTTTTATTCAAATAGCAAAGCATTACGTCTACTATAAAATAGTTTGAGATTCAATGAAAACTAAAAAGATAGAAATCAACACTTCCCGTCCGCCATTTTAAATGCGAGGTGACGGCCGTTGCCATCGCTTGATACTAACCAGTGAGAATGGTACATAGCCTATTCACGAGTAGTATGTCAAAATCTATTAATGCTTGATATTAAGCTAAAACACATACATAGTGACGATAATATAAACAGAAACTCCTCTGAATATTTGAACGTGAGAATAAGACTGATTAAGTAAAAGCTGTAAACACTGTAAATGTTGTAAATTCGAGATGCAACCCAGAAACACTTAAAAGGACCAACAGTCGTGTGCACGGGACATTGGTAGTTAAACCGTGATGGATGCATATTTATACACAGTCATAGTAAAGGATAGTGTAGTAATGTCATTGTGCAAAGAAGAGCATTAAGAGGTTAAACCTTTATACACAATGTTAGGCAATATTTAGATAACACAGTTTGAGGATGGTGATGTTGAGTTTCATTCTTTTGCACAGTCGGATCTTAAGATGCTTTTAAGTGATGTACAGAAAAAAGGTTTCAGTTTTGTGAACAGAATATTACTTTGAGATGGCTTTGAAACTTGTTGAACAAGAATTTAATTAGCTAAATGCACAACAAAATATCACAGTCATGTGCTTTGAAACTTGTTGAACAAGAATTTAATTAGCTAAATGCACAACAAAATATCACAGTCATGTGCAAAGAACGATATTTTGAGAGGATTTGAATCACCGTCAGTATCAGTACTGTTTGAGATAATTCAGTTGTTTGCACAGGACTGAATAGTATTTTGTAATACATCTTTGCTGTCAACAGGTTAAAAGTTTCGTATCAACGTTTAGTCATCCTAACATGCTATTCTGTGAATAGGACCGAAGGACTACCCCAAACTGTAACTGTAAACAAGTATAACTGATTCTGACCATCCTAATATGTTTGTCTGTGTACCCACATGCCTGAACCAACCCTTTAATTTTCGGATTAGAATTTGAAACACTTGCATCATTTACAGCGTTCACAGGTTATACTTCATGGGTGATAAAAAGAACTGATGTAGACTATGATTTACATTTTAATTATGGTTTGGAAAAATCGTGAACTTGTACGTAAGGAGTTGCTTTTATTAAGAACTTGATGATACTACTTATGAAACATGAATTATCTCCTCAATGATAACACTGCAACTGACACTGACCCAGGGTACCCATTAACTATATGATTTCACCGAGGCTTCGTTTTAGCATGGAATGGATGATCATATCACCTATGAGTTGCTGTGTTGTATGTTTTAGTTTTTCAAAGTAGTTTCTTTTTGTAATAACATTGTCACAGTCCACTTATTGATTAATATCACTTTAATGTATTAACCTATAATATCACTGTAATATCAGCGTGATATCAGCATGATACCTAGTAATATCAGCGTTAATCAGTGACTTTTCATCTTTTTTACACTAACATCAGTTTGACCATCATATCACAGTACTTGTTTGCAAAGTATTATCAAATACTGTGACTTTATGTACACCTTGAACCACTCATCACTGAAACCCAATTTTACCTGTGATTTAATGAACAAAGTTCTTGTATGGGAGTGCTATGGAGATCTGCAGACTGAGGACAACGACGAGCCAATAAGAAGAAGTGCAGTTTCACTCACAATTCATGCTAGTAGTCATAAATAGAATTCACACATTGCAAAATATTTTGAACGATATGTATTAAAGTATTTTAACCCAAATATTCTTTCCTTATATTTATACAGTGTCAGGGTTTAACAAAAAATCACATTCTTCTGAAATATAGCAAAATATTTTGGACAGTAATATCGTAAGTTAATCGAATTCAAACTGAAACCTTTTAGGGTTAATGTCAAGGGATGTATCCTAATAATATAAACGAGGTCAATTTCTAACGGTATATAACCATAAACAACAAAACAATAACAAAAATATGTTTTTGACACAATGACATGTTTTCCCTCATTACAATTTCGCCTTATTATCAATGCACTGATGTAAATATAGCATGTTTATACTGTTCTCATTGAACATAAAGTAATGTACCAAAAACATGCTGCTTAGCTTTGTATGTGATAATAATTAACTATAATTTATTTGCATTTAATCATAATGCTCTATGGCGGATCCGGGGGGGGGGGGCATGGGGCCCGGCCCCCCCCCCTAAGGTTGGCCCAAAAAAAAAAGAAGTTGGGCCCAAAAAAAATTTAGGCCAAAAAAGGCCTTAAGGCCCCAAAAAGTGGGCCTTTTGGTCATTATTGGGCCTTCTAAGGCCTTATTTTTTTAATTTAAGTCAAATTTGGAAGAAAATGGGCCTCAAATTTTCAAAATTTGGGCCCACTTTTTCGGTTTTAGGGGCCCAAAATTTTTTTTCGCGCAAGCGCGGAGGTTTTTTCTATATTCTCAAATTTGGGCCCCCCCCCTTGTTGGTTCCTGGATCCGCCACTGATGCTCTAGTATAGTGTTGTTTCATTTAAGTCCGATGTAAGGTTTGTTCTATGTACTTTGCATTGTATTAAAATCTTCAATTGGATAAAACACATTAAGAAAATATAAACATACAAACAGCCAATGATGCTGTTCTAGTGTAAAAGAGAGTTTCAGTGAAGTCCAACGTATATTTGTTTCATGTACTTTACATTGTATGCAAAGCTTCACTTGTTTTATGTGCTTTACATTGTATGCAAAACTTCACTTGTTTTATGTGCTTTACATTGTATGCAAAGCTTCACTTGGAGACTAACACATTGATAAAATATAAACATACAAACATTCAATGATGCAATGGTGCTGTCCTGGTGTCTAGTGTTCCATTTACTTTGTACTGTATGCAAATTCTGACTTGGACACAACGCACTAAGTGAAGATAAATACACACAGACATCCATGATGTTCCAGTGTAAAAAGTTTTTTCGAGTCCAACGGAATGCCTGTTTTATGTGCTTTCAGGAGGTCGCCATGTATTCCAATGAAAGTTCACTCCGGATCTTTATCTGCTCGATATGTTTCAAGAAAGATACTTCAAGGAAGGAAATGGAGCACCATGTCGAAGCTCAGCACATTACGATGAAACAGTTCAAATGTTCACTATGTAGTGATCAATTTGTAAATCAAACAGAGCTCGAGGACCATGTGATGACATTCGGAGATGAACATAAGATTACTGTGGACATTGATAAGCATGTTCGTAACAAAGAAATGATCAAGAATACCATCGTTTCTTTGTCTGATGATATTGTGATTGCAAATGTATTGACTGATGACAAGTTGAAAAGAAAACCAAAGGTTGATTTAAAGCAAACTCAAGTTAAGATCAATGAGCGGTACAAAGTGCCATCGAGTTCTCAAAGACCAGAATCCCCAGGACCGCCCACACTGACACCAAATAGAAACGTGGGGAAGTTTCCTGTTCGAATACAACTTGGAGGAAAAAGGACACATTCCATCGATGACGAAAATGATTCAGACGGGTTTTCTACAGATGTATCTGAGAGAATTACCACAAAAAAGACAGAATGGAAAGAGCTTCCAATCAAGAAACCGAAATATACTGACACAACTATTGTTGGGGAAAATGCTATTATAAAAACAAATGTGTCGACTATAACAAAACAGTCATCAAATCATGTAGAGAAACAAACACTCCAGAAACACAACCAAACAAATGATACTGCAAAAGCAATCCCTTCAGCTAAACCCCAAACTGCTGAGAATCTCCAAGGAAACTCCAGCTACAAATCCCAACCACCAAGACCAAATCAAGCAATTGAATGTATTCCAAGGGAGAAACCAGAAAGACCTACGAATGCCCAAAAAAGTTTTGGCTCAAAGACTGAAGAAGCTAAAGTCCCACTATCAAATTTGACTTCGAAAAATGCCAAACCTATTTTAGAACACCAAACTACAGGAGCACAGAAAACAGGTAAAAAGGACAAACAGCCTGAAAATGCCAATGAAGACAATCACCAACAAAGACTGACATTTCCAGATCCCCACACAACTGTACTGCAATTAGGTAAACCAAGTCCAACAAAACAAAGTGAAGACATTGATACTAATAAGAATACTAATAATAATGTTTATAGAGATTTTATCGCTATAATTGAAAAGAATCGCAAGCATCTGTCAAAGTTATGCCAAGATATTTTGTGTGAGAAGGAACAAAGAATTACAAGTACAATAAATAATCATGGAGAAATATCTTCCCTCAAGAAGCAAGTACTAGAGGTGTCCGCTCAGCTTGGCAGTGCCAATTATATGGACAAAAGAACTATTCACATACAAAAGAGATACACTGAGCTGAAACGTCAGTTAGATGATAAAGAGACACAGATGAGTAAAGATGTCGAAGAACTAAACAAGGATTATGAGCCAATGATAGAATTCTACAAAGAGCAGTTGATATTTATAGAGAATGAGAAAAAGAGAGTGGAGGGTATTCTTAAAACAGGCCACAATTATCGAAATATTAACTTCATGGTTGCTGAACTTCAACAAATACTTATACAGTGTGAAAATACTCATGAAAAGGTGCACAATGAAATGAAGGAACAACACGAGAAAAGATTGAAGGAGTATTTATATGAATATGAAAGACTTCAACAGACAAGTGATACAAGCACCCACACAAACGTGACAAAAGAGCACTTAAAACGGCTTGAGAATAAACAATTGTCTTCACAAAACAACTTTAGGTTGAGGATGAAGAAACTGTATGAAAACAATCGAAATATGAAAAGTGGCCTTTACAATAATTTGCGGCTTTGTATCGAAAGCAGACATGATTTAGTTGCACAAAACGAGGTAATGAAAAAGATATCTGCACAAAAGAGTGATGTGGGTAAACTGGATGCTTGGCTTCAAACAAAGCTTGAGGAGGTAAGGTCATTTTATTGTTATTTTTGCTTTATATTTTGTGTCTTCAATAGCAATTGTAAATCCTCAAACAATATGTCTATAAGTCTCATTACTTTGAATATGATACATTGTAACCAAATCTTTTTTGTTTTAGTGGTCCAAAATAGACGAGGTACCAAAGAGTAATGAGAGCAAAACCCCAAGTCCTACTGTGACATCTTCACATCAACCAAATGCAGAAGTAGCATGTGTATCAAATCAAAACATCAGTACTATTGTTACAACTTCCTGTTCATCAAACGGTGCTGTGCAACAGAGTATCAACCCTATTGCCAAGCCATCATCTCAAGCAAAAAACTCAAATAAGTCACGATCTGCTGCACCATCTTTACAAACTCGAAAAGGGCTGGAAAAAATGACACAGCTTCCACAATCAGAAAGTTCAGCGGCTATACCCCAAAGAAGCAAGACAGGACAAACATATATTTTGAATGCAGGACAACAGCGGGAGATAGATAGGCTACTTGCAATAGCAACTAAAGCACTTGACACAGATAAAGATATTCGAATACCCACCTTAGGTCAGCTGGATTGGTTCAAACTATCCAGATCTTACCTACCATACCTTGCAAAACTTGCAGGGCGGGTTTATGGTAACTTACTAAAGGAACGAGAAGTTGCTAACTGTTATGGTAATGAACTGCACAATATTATTTGGCTCACTAATGATGCAGTTGAATTCGCTCAACGAAATCCTACGAGGGATCTCAATCGAAGCTATTTGTGTCAACTATGCCCGTTCGTAAGCTTAAAGTTTGACAGCATAGACGGAATTGTACACCACATTATAACCAGACATACAGCCGGGGAGTACCCGTGTATACATTGTGAACGAAAAGAACCAACAAAAATGGCCATAGCGCTGCATCTGCAAGTGTAAGTATGTCAAATTTTGATACATACTACTTCCCATTTACCTCACCTTTTGAATTTGTATTACGTATACTGAAATATAACTTAAATATAATATGATTTTGTATTTCAGAGAACATAAGATGACAAAAAGCTTTGTTGACGATATTGTGGAGACTCTGTCACCATCAGGCCTTCCATTTTGCCCAAGTATGATCCATAGGTATATGTTCATTGCCATCGACCTTCTACAGGACAGATATGAGTGCTCTTCATGTAGCTATGTACCAGGTACCTTTGTACGTATGTTTTGTCACATGCCAATGCATTTCATGAATCAGATGAAACAATATTCCATGGAGCAAGTCATCTGTGACCTAAGGCAACAATGCAAGACTGTGAGGAGAGATTTATGTCATTGTAGCAATCACAGAGTTTCCCAAAATACAAATGCCACCCGAAACATCTGTGATGTGAATGCTACACGTGGAAAAACTGCAAGTAAAAAACATCCTCTGTCTGATATTAGCTTTCATCCACTTCAAATTACCCCCATTTCTCAAATGGATGTTGTTTATCCCAACCAAGGGGTCCCTGCAGAACATGTCCGATCTCAACCACATCAACAAAAATCCTCGACTCCAGTCAGCGCTCGATCGCATCAACAGATTCGTGTAACTCACACAGACACTCTCCCTAATCGGGAGGTGCCTTTGTCATGTAATGTCACTCAATCACATCAACAGATCTCTGAATCTTGCATTAGGCCTCAACCACCAAAGCAGATTCCCTTCTCTCAAAATGGTACTCGACTACACCAACAGCTTCCTGTGGCTGCCATGGGGACTCAACAACACCAGCAGCTGCCTGTGTCTCAAATTGGTACTGAATTACACCAGCAGCTTTCCGTGTCTGCTAAGGGCACTCAGTCACACCAGCAGCTTCCTGTGGATGCCATGGGGACTCGACAACATCAGCAGCTACCTGTGTCTGGAAAAGGTGCTCAACACCAGCAGCTGCCTGTGTCTTGTATGGGCACTCAGTCACACCAGCACCTTCCTGTGGCTGCCATTGGGACTCAACAATACCAGCAACTGCCTGTGTCTGATAAAAGTGCTCAGCACCAGCAGCTGCCTGTGTCTGGTATGGGCACTCAGTCACACCAGCAGCTTCCTGTGTCTCAAATTAGTACTCGACTACACCAGCAGCTTCCTCTGGATACCATGGGGACTCAACAACACCAGCAGCTACCTGTGTCTCAAATTAGTACTCGACCACACCAGCAGCTTCCTGTGGCTGCCATAGGGACCCAGTCACACCAGCAGCTGCCTGTGTCTGGAATGGGCACTCAGTCATACCAGCAGCTTCTTGTGTCTCCAATTAGTACTCGACTACACCAGCAGCTTCCTCTGGATACCATGGGGACTCAACAACACCAGCAGCTACCTGTGTCTCAAATTAGTACTCGACCACACCAGCAGCTTCCTGTGGCTGCCATAGGGACCCAGTCACACCAGCAGCTGCCTGTGTCTCAAACTAGTGCTGGACCACACCAGCAGCGTCCTGTGGCTGCCATGGGGACTCAACAACACCAGCAGGTGCCTGTGACTCAAATTAGTACTCGACCACACCAGCAGCTTTCTGTGGCTGCCATGGGGACTCAACAACACCAGCAGCTGCCTGTGTCTCAAATTAATACTCGACGACACCAGCAGCTTCCTGTGGCTGCCATAGGGGCCCAGTCACACCAGCAGCTGCCTGTGTCTCAAATTAGTACTGGACCACACCAGCAGCTTCCTGTGGCTGCCATGGGGACTCAACAACACAAGCAGGTGCCTGTGTCTCAAATTAGTACTCGACCACACCAGCAGCTTCCTGTAGCTGCCATAGGGGCCCAGTCACACCAGCAGCTGCCTGTGTCTCAAATTAGTACTGGACCACACCAGCAGCTGCTTCCTGTGGCTGTCAAAGGGACTCAACAACACCAGCAACTGCCTGTGTCTGGTAAAAGTGGTCAACACCAGCAGTTGCCTGTGTCTGGTATGGGCACTCAGCCACACAAGCAACTGCATGTGTCTGGTATGACATCTCGGCCACATCAGCAGCTGCCTGTATGTGGCATTGGTGCTCAACAAAATGAACAGGTGCCTGTATCTAATATTGACAATCGACTGCACCAACAGACCCCCTTGTTTGGCATTGGCACAGAGCCACACCAACAGATGCATGCATCTCATGTTGTTCCACAAGATCAACAGGCGTCTGTGTCTACACATATCAGCACTCAACCGGCTTTACATAAAACAGCTACTGTGTCTCAAAATGGTACTCTGCTATATCGGCTTATGTCTGCTCCTGACAATGGCACCCAACAGCACCAACAGAAACGTGACCCTAAAGGTCACAACCAGCAGTGTGATCCGACAACCAATCCAGTACCATATAATAACACTGCATTTGTGCGAAATAATGACATACCACAGAACAATGAACCACACTCTATCAATGATAAAATAAGAACACAAATTGAAGCAGTGGTAGATAGAGAATATCAGAGAAGAATAGCCCCAGATCCCCAAGCCAAGAACACTACTCCATCACAAGAGCCTGCACCTCCAAGGAGATCAATGTCTACAGTGACCAACACAACAACCCCATTGCCGAGTACAGAACATATGAGCGATGTGCTTGCAACAGAGAACCAAGAGTCTATGTCACTTGATGCCACCAGTATTTTGGACAATGTCAAGGAGAATCGTATCAAAACCGAGCCAGAAGAGACGGATGATCGATATGTGCTTCAGAAAATGTATATGGAGTGTGTGCGTCCCATCCCACATGTCCCAAAGATATCGGTTAGTATACCTTGAAGTATATTGATGTGTAACTCATTCATAATATAGGGACAATTCTTTCCCATAGATTACTCATAGTGTGGGTGTGTTCTCAGTGACCCGCTCAAAAAATGAGGTCTTTATGAAAATTGTTATGCCTCTTCTGAATATAGCAGCATCTTTAGCTTCCAACAAAACCATGCGATGAAATGGTGCTTCTTTATTTTGAGACAGGAATGTAAACTATTCTGGAAGTCGACCCTGACAATTTGATCTCTTATTTTGGTGGAATTTATAAATAGCCAGCTTTACTGTAGGTTATGAATTAATCTTTTTAGCTGACAACTCTAATAGGTATTAATAAGTCGCTTAAAAAGACCCTTGTATGCCCACATATCATTCTTTTACTTTTCAGAAAAATGTAAATTCTGTGAACCAAACCACGAGAGACAGTGACCAAGATGACGAGGTAGCTGAACTCCCTGATATAACACCTCCTAAGCGTCGGAAAGGTCCTTCCATCAAGGTCCCTGAGAACATTAAGAAGCACCTTAAACAAAATCTAGGAGGTATTAGTATTAAAACTACCAAACCAGCTCCTGATCAAGCCTGCCAGCCTCCAAGTCCCACTGTGACTATCCCATATGGGGATAAAGACACAGAGATTGAGACACGTTTAATGGAAGTTGATGACAAGGAAGATGCTGTTATGGAGTCTGTTGATGAGTCTCCAATGGATTTTGATATCATTATCAATGCAGATAATGATGAGGAAGACGACCAGGATGATGATGATTCCGATATTGTTGCCAATTCGATTTTTAAAATTTCTTGTGACCAAAGTGGTATTACCACTAAAACAAAAGACAATCCAAATGAGGCAATGGTAATGGAAGCTGGAGAAAGGGAGGTGCAACAACAACAACAGACTCATGCATCAGATCCCAAGCCATTAATTCCAAGTGACACTTTGAACATAACTGAAGGTATAAACACTATTGACGATATGAATATAAGCACAGCAGAAGAAACAAGCAGAACCAATGATGTCAACACAAACCCTGCAATATATGTCTCAATAGATGAAGATGATCTCCCAGAAATCGAAACGGAGGAAACTGAAATTGATTTATCGGATGACGAAGATGATACAACCGACATGGATTGTGATGCAGCCGATATGGAAAAACAAGATAAAACAAAGTCTGAAAACAAAACTGACTCTCTAATTGAATGTACTGATGATGAAGATGACACGCCTGATATTTTAGTGGATGTAAAACTAGATCAAACAAATAGTGGTCCCTTGGTTGACTCCACTAAAGATGATCACAATTTGACAAGTGAAACTGCTATTAGTAAACCTGACATTTGCCCTAATGACACAATAAATAAAGCCGACATTCCAATTGATTATATTAATGATCAACAAAATATTGCCGATGATAAAGTAGAAGAGGAACAAGAGCAAATCAGGTCAGAACCTATGATGAGTAAAGGTGGGACGCTGATGGTGTATGACAAAGAGTCTGAGTACTTACATGAGGTGGATGATGAACCCCAACAAGTTGAAGACCTGACAATCGATTCCGATCAAGAAGACGATGATATTGCTATTGTAGAAGAGAAAAATATAGTCAGATATGTGGCGGTATACTGTAAGAAATGCACTGAGGAGCACAGAATGACCGAGGATGAATACAAAAAGTCATTAGCAAAGGGTAGGATAAATACTGAAATTGAACCGCGATACATCAACCCTCCTACTCAAATGAAACCATACAAAAGCAAATTGGATGCAACTATACCAGAAAACACAACAGCTAAACAAACCCCGGGCGTTAGTATGAAAACAAATAGTTTATCTGAGAACAAATCTCAGAAAATTTATGAACTTGCTTTGAACCAATTATCAAAATCTAACAAATCAGGGGTTGTTAACATATCCAGCATTTCTAAACCCACCAATAATGGAGTTGAAAACACGAACCAAGGTGTGTGTAAGATTGCCAAACAACCCATCCAAATACCAAATCAGTTACCGACCATCACATTCAATGCTCAACAGTCAGCTAAACCAGACATGGCTACACACCAAGGCACTCATACACAATCAAGACAGCCACCTGTAAACCGCAGTGGACCATTCAGTTTCTTAGAACAAGGTTTGCAGACTTTGAAGGGAGTTGGCAATGTGATAACTCAGAAAGGAGGAGGTCTGCGCCCTATTCTACCCAAACCATTGAACTCTCACCCCAATGTAAGTTCCTTCAATTTATCTATATTGATGATTGCACTCGTAGGTGTTTTCTCGCTATTGTCATGCTCAGTATTTCCTCTATTTTCCATTTTTATATTGTGCTTTCATATTTATTAGAATTATTCAAATGTCATTTTTGATTCCATTACTTTTCAACCACTGAAAAAATCTTGAGTGTAAATTTTTAACCTTTTCACCGTATTATTACCTTACTTTAAGCTTGCTCAACAGATGAAAACAACCTCCCAGAAAATAGAATGCAAACAAGTAACAAAGGTGAGACCCATCCTTCCAAAACCAGTCGACAGTTTCCTCCCCATAAATGAACAAGATAATGTGGCGAATGATGAGACACATGACGATGAAGGTGGTGTCCCCGCGTCACAGGAAAGTCTCGGGTCTGTGGCAATGACCCCTCCCCCAGAAGCCTTACCTGATGAAGACCTAGAGGAACAGCAGAACAAGGTTAGTATTTAATACAACATAGTTTCAATTATCAAAATACTCTGTTGTGCGTTGTAGAATAAAGAACAATTTTTGGGGGAATTTTTTTTATTTAAATTTTTTTTATTTCATTTCAGAGAAGAAAAAACATGTTGAAGCAAATGCAAAAACGAACAAATTTTTTATGTGTTCTGCAAGAATACGACTTCTTTTCACAGCATTCTGAGTGTAATGTATAATGTATATCTTGGATGTTGATCCTTGTTACCACGCTATAATGGTTTGATAACTAGAGAACAATGTATAATGTGTTTAAAATACTTCAATATGTATGTACAATTTTATATAATGAAATTTAAGTAAGATGATTAAAACATATTTAATATAATTTTTCAGTAGTAGATGACAGCTCCAACTCAAATTCGAACATGCAGATAGAAGTCCATAAAGATATTCCAGATGCCACCAGTGTGAGGTCCAATAGCAGACATTCCAAATGGACCAGGCGTATGCGGTTATGTAGACTATTCCCATGCAGTTTGTACTTGCAATAAGAAGTCTAGTATACAATAACTTCCGTGTGTGCAAAATTCACTGTACAAATCACTGCCATGCCGATTTTGCAAATGGGTGAAGACGCACACACATATACAAACTGTACTTTATCAGACCTTCAAGGATCTCAACATGATATAAGAACTATTCTTTATTCTACATTTTATGTGGGGTGATCCTTGCCTTGTCATCACGCTAACTAGAGAACAATGTATAATGTGTTTAAAATACTTCAATATGTATGTACAATTTATTCACTGTACAAATCACTGCCATGCCGATTTTGCAAATGGGTGAAGACGCACACACATACAGTATACATGCTGTACTTTATCCTCTACCTTCAAGGTATTCTATATTCTACATTTTATGTAGGGTGATAGATGGTTGTATTATGCAAAATGTCTTCCTATGTATCTTTGAAAAATAGAAAATGAGACTTAGTCGTAACAAGGGAGGCGATCAGTATTTTTTGTAATACTTAAGGTCAGTACTTTCAAGCCGTCCATGACATAAGGATGATGAAAAACAGCATTAAACAATATTAAGAATTTGAACAGTATTGTATATTTACTTTATATAGTCAATTATACTGTACGTACATAAATGTGATATAACTTATATAGTCAATGTATATAGACATACAACAATGTAATAGGGCCATTGAATATAGACTAACAACAATGTTCAACAACTTGAGACAACTTATATATAGTCAGTGGAATGTTCAACAACTGGAGACAACTTATATATAGTCAGTGTATATAGACATACAGCAACATTCAATTATCTTATGTACAGTCCATTTTAGTGTTTTATTTTCGTCAGTAAAACCTAAAATGTAAGAAATCATAAGACCTCAGTGTCCTATGGAAAAATAGGACACATTATTGTTGTACAAGTATAACATTTGTATATTTAATGACGAAATAAAACATTGAAATGAACTTTAGTCAATGTATATAGGCGTACAACTTTCAATAAACTTGTGTAGTCAATGTATATAGGATTACGATGCTATCACTGTTATATTCCTCGCTCTCTGATTTGTCGCACACGTGACTTGATTACGTTTCATTAAAAAGCGTATTTCATGTATTTAAGAGGCATATTCCAACCAAGTACGTTAGTACTGTAATTTATAGCATCGTCGATATCATATCCTTCCCGGTGGGTCTTCCGTCAAATGAAAATTATCCCATATTTCGCAGGTTTTATTTAGTTTATTCATTTACATCATTATATTAAAACAGAAAGTCAATTATTTGTCAATAACTAAATAAATCGATAAATAATGATGACCTCATCAGGAAATGGGGAGTATTACAGTGAATAATAAAACAAATATTTTTTTTTATATTTTATCAACTATGAATATATATATCTTGTACACTTTGTAAATAGTGTATTGTCATGTATATACTTCCAATATATAAAGAACATTCAATATAACTTTTTTTATTGGATCATACAACTTCAATACAACTTGCAAGTCATATTACACGGTATTTTCAAATAAAAAAAGTGGCGTTGCAAAACACTCTGTGAACAGTAATGTTTAAATGTATCTTAAGCGTTAAAAGACATAGCTGAAGCCGGTCGCAAAAATGGGAGTACCTCTACTTTTAAATAAAATGATCTCGTGTTAAACAATTTTTCACAGGGGGTCCGAGAGGAGGTGCTATTTTAAGAATTTACCGGAATTAGCCTGGGAATATCCATTAACATAAAATAGTCCAATACTGTACGGACTAGGGATGTAACAGAATCAGCTTCCAAAAATGTACGGGCAAACTTTAAAGCGTGAATTTGCGAAAATCTAGACTCCAAAAGAAGTAGCTTCTGCAATACAATTTGTCGTCAATGAGCAACGCAAAATTTCATGGCATTAAGCATTTCAATGTTTTCCTCTCTGTCTCAAATTGTTTTGTTTTTGGCTAGAAGTTCAAACTTTGATCAGCTGTGCAAAATTGGTTTTGGTGATTAAGCTCATAAAATAATCTTTTAAACATATATAATGTACTATGCAATTTAAGCTGGATAAACAGTTGTGTGTGCCAAAAGAAACCATGCCAAATAGTAATTTTATTTCATGGCTTATATAAACAATAGGGCAATTATATAAACATGATTTAAACAATCGCAATTCAGTTTGTTGTTGAAAAATGTACACATACCTTAAGTGTATTTATTATAGTTTTGATATTACTCGCTATATTACAGGGTTGACCAAAAAAGGTAACCCAAACAAATGTTAATAACTCCGACACCAGCAAGGGTCTTTAAAGACGTTGTTTTGGTTATAGCGGGATAAATAGTGTAAAGTAATCGCCGTTTGCGGAACAAATCGTGAAACTTTCCTCAAATGATCACTGATTGCTACTCTTTAAATAAAGCAACTGTGCCAAAATATCGCCCCATAGGAACTACCCTAATTTTACAGTTCTTACCCCCCCCCATGGTCACGGAGGGGGGGGGGGGGCTAAAAAAATTTTGACACAATTTTTTTTACTAAATTATGCTCATACTTCAAATTTAATATTACCTTATCATGTTAAGAAGTTGATGTTGAAGTAAAAATATGAAATACCATTGATTTTCGATTGCTATGTTAAAGGGTGGTGATGGGCGACGCCCACTTTTCTTGTATTGAATATTTTGCACCATATCACAGTAGCAGGAGTAAATCAAATAAGTGATATATGATTTTAAAATTACATCTATATCTAATGCTTCACATGACTATTATTTTTCACCTTTTTCACTGTTAAAGGCTTGTTTTGAGTCACACCCATCTTTTAGATATACAGAAAAAATGGTCGATACGGCTTGACTTGTGGTTTCTTTTGGCTTCTGAGTGCAGTTAGACTCCATATATCAACTATCTATATCTGTTTCATAGTTCCTTTAGTTTCACTTTGCACACATTTTTAAATCATAGTTTTATTAATCTTATCAATAGAAGGATTTATACTAGTGTCTATCAGTATCATAGTTACTTTTTGGTATGTTGCAGTGTCCTTATGAAGAACAATTGCCATCACACACACATAATGCTGTACAAACAAGATTTCCTTTCAGGCTCTTGCATCGTGTTGATATGCATTGGTTTTTGCAGCTACACTTTATGAGAGCCTGGCAAGCGTCTGATGCTTGGGGTAAGGTTGTCCACCTTGGTATTCATTTGGTGTCTTCAAATATCCAGCCCCACTCAGCTGGGGAAGGAACTTGAGGATTCACTGTAAGTGGTTGCCCCCAAATAAATACAGCTTGGTATATGACTCTCTTCATATGCTGTAAAAGGGCATCTGATGTTGGACGAATGTGTGATATTATTGAAGTCCTTTTTGTGAACATCTCCTTCCTCGCAGCATTGATTGATGTTTCATTGCTTGTTTTAAGTTGGAGACCAGAATAATGAACTGCTCTAAAATAGGCATCAAGCAGGGTATTGGGTCGTATTGAGATTTCTGTTAATACTGTAGTCAATTCAGGGTAGGTACTCCGTTGGTTCCAGGCTGATGTCTTAGACTTTCCATTAAAGCCTGGTGTGGTGTCACACCCAGTCATAGCATGGAATATTGGGAAACACATGGCTTTCTGAGGAGTCATTTCATGGGCAATTTCGTGGGCTGGAAGGTATCTATAGGACTTTCCCTTGCCAAAGGCAAGCCAGATTTGAATGTTAAGTTGTACTAACTGTCAGAACAACAATGTCTGAATCAACTGTTCTAATCGTCATTTTTGAGAAGCCTTTTAACATTGCATCATATATGTGCCTCTTCATGGGATGATGGTGAAATCTCAGAGACATGCTGCTTAGGATATGCCTCTGCAGAATTTCCAATTGTTGTAATCAGGATCTTATTCTCTGGTACTGAAATGGCTGAGACATTTGATGCAAGGAAGGTAAAGAGATCACTTTTCTTGTCATCCGAGCGTAGAAATTCTGGCCAATTCCCTGGCAATTTGTTTTCTGGATAAACTATTTGACGCTTTCCAGATCCATGCTTTTTTCTTGTTGAAGATTTGACACTATTTGGTATATATTGATCCCATAAAATATCAAGTCTTTGTACTCTATTAAGTTGATTGGCAGTATACTTATTAAATGTCATTTGAGTATTGTAGGAAGGTTCTTGCTTTTTGAGTTTTCAGCTGGTGGACTATTACGGCACCATCAAGAAACAGGGCTTCAACATCTGGTGTATTGATCTCTCTATTTGGAACAAGGTCTTCTACTGGTTTTAAGATATTTGCTTTGAGTCCAGTCTTGATTGTGCCATCTGGTGATGGCTTTTGATCTTTCAATAATTCTCTCCTTTATATATACTTCACATTAACTTTCCCCCTTTTCTCAATTGTGTTCAATGTGTCAACTGCATTGCTTGACATTACATCTTTAGTATCAAGTGTCCAAAGTTCCTTTGATGTTGCAATAAAGGGGTTTCCTAAATCATTGATAACCTAAGTAAGGGAATTGACATATTTGTTGAAACTGGTTTGATAACTAACACTGTGCTCATGGTTTGCAAGGACCATCATTATTCTTCATCTCATCCTCAAACTCAGTTAACATTCTTGCGATCTCTGGACCATCGACCATCCACTTCTGTAATGCGGTTGGATTGTCGAACAACCCCACAGCTCCACCCTCACTTTTGATCACACTATTATTTTGCTCATGGGCTTGGTCTATTGACATGGAGGAGAAGCTTTTTATTGACTTGCTGACAGTAAAATGCCCCTTCATGAAACCATTGTGAACTTCAGGGTGTATTTCTTTGAGCTAAACCATATCACTTACATGGACAGGTACCCAGCAGGCATAATTGGTATGATCCAGGGAGACAAACCATGGCATGATTTCCATGATAGTTTCTTTGTAAAGCTTGAAGTCCCCAAGTCTCACAGCTCTAACATTTGTTAGACACAGAACTTGTAATTGGAGTACCATGTACCAGAATTTGAATATAGGTGACCCTGTTTCTTCACTCTGCTGGGTATCTATCAAAGATTCAAAATCAAGAGGCAAAATTGTATTGATTGGTAATCTACCTGAAATCTACCCAAGTAACAAGACCCCCTCCCAATACACATAAGACTCATTCTTAACAGTCGATTCCTCAGCTAGCGTGAGGAATCCCCATTAAGTCACACAAGCGCCCACAAGTGCCTTGAACCAGGCAGCCAATCAGGTTTATGATGAACAAATTCAACGACCAATCAGATAACAGGACGACTTTCCCGGTATATTCACACTTCAGATTGAATTAATTTCTTCGAAAATAATTAGATCAGCCAGCACAATCGCGAAATTAACACTGAAAGAGGGGGATTTGGGACTTCTTCTTTGGTAAGTAGATGGGTATATATGTGGTGAAACTCAATATGCAAAAAGTCCAGAGGGGTCTTGATTTTGCTATCCTATGGCATAGAGCCTCTTTAATCAAAATAGCCAGAACAAC